AATGCATGTTAAAGACTGATGGAAGAAACATTTTTACTTTTTTAGTTTGTCAATATATTTAGGACTTATATGTACACACGGAATATAGTAATAAAAGAAAGGTCAACGGCTAAAGAAAATAGAAGTAGCCTTCAGGCTTTGAAAACCGAAGGATGAATATATCGAAAAATATTTCTTATGAACGCAAATTTCATGTTTAATGAATCTTAATGCTAAAGTCTCAGCTACATTAAGCGAATGTTAGTGAGCTACACATGATGTTGTTTTCAGAACTCAGTGTACGACATTTTAAGCTCTAGTGGCACCTATGTAACATCCTGTGTCTAACAAATTGCCTACAATTGTGCTGTTACCACTTCCACTTCACCTTTTCGAAATAAAGCTGGCTAATATATGCGTCCGTAGATGCATATACTTAACTAATCTTGCGTCCTATGCAACTTGGTCCACGGGAGCAATTAAATTATTACATACAAACTGAGAAGCTACTACTCAGTAGGTTACCCCTTAGCCTCAGGCTGAACATTGGTCAACTTATAAGTGATCTGCAAATACAAGCTCAGTAAAACGTTCTATTCACAGCTCTAGCTGAATGTTCTCACAACATATCTCTGTATACTAACTGACGCACAAACATAGTTTTATTTCTCTGTGACCACCTCACGTCTTGGATTACTGTAAGAGATGTTTACTTAAACGGGTTTTCCAGGATATCTACCTTCAAATACGATGTCACGAAACACAGTTTCCTCTCCACTTCACACAGCTATACAACATGATGAAAATTTATCATAGAATATAATCAGTTTTACGTACGGTTGTGTCTTTATGAGCTTCACAAAAATAAAAACCAACCTGGGAATCATATGAAGATCCATCAATTTGTTAATGATTTAGAATTGTTATTTGAAGGCCTATGACATATTCTGACTTCAGAAATCGTTATCAGATGTCAGCAACTGAAGCCAATTCGTCGGAACTCGACAGCCTGAATCAATGAACCACAATTGTAGTGGACACCAAATGTCGATTTAAGATTAGAAACAACAATGAAGAAGAATGACTTGCGCTGAGTTCAAAATACAATATCTTCTAACACTAAAACACTTTACAGTGTTGCAACCAGAGGCTGAAAAATACCGTAGGACTAATTGTGAGAGGAAATGAAATGAAATAGCATGATGAGAAGAAGGAACAAAAGGTTTTTTCAGCAGAAAGAATTTTCTACACAGTGGAACAATTTGTTCAGGTATACAGATATAGTCAGGTTTAATAACAGTCATTTTTCATATGATGAAGCACATGACTAATCACGACTGTGAAATACGAATGATCAGGGAAGTTCAACGAGAATATTAGTCCATGACAGTTTCCGTAAATAGAATGAGTGACTGTTGATATTCGACATGTTGCTATTTAGGCTAAATATGACATGACTGACATTGATGGTCATTTTTGTGTGCAAACAAGTATAAAAATATCATAAGAAATGAAAAATCTAATTAAAACTACTGAAATTACTCAGTTTATACACCATTTAGGCAAAATGATGTTTGTAACGCTGCATAAAGCTTTTAACGGCAACATGCCTGATACCGGAAGTCAAATGAATTTATTCAATTCATAAATTAAACACGACGATACTGCCTTTACAAATGATTAATTCTGCACCTAAGATATGGTAGCAATATGCGAATGATATATTTAATGTGTTGAAATCGGAACATATCAACAATTTCCTTACACATAAACTCAGTAGGCTCAATTAACTTCACTTAAGCGGTTGACAATGAAAAAGAATTGGCCATACTCAAGTGGGGAACGAAACGAAGGACAAACCGTGGTTTGGGTACTACCGTCTGAAGAAAACCGACACATTCCAAGAGGTATCTAAACTTCAGGTTATTTCATCCAAGCTGAGATATTGCGGGTTTAGCGAAGTGTCGAAATAATTGAGCAAGATAACTTCCTATTAAATGCGAGGACTTAAACCAGGAAATGAAACACATAAAAGAAGCATCGATGATTATATCTTACAGCTTATCAAGAAATTCTTACGAACGCATAAGAAACAAAATGACAGTAGTAATACGAATAGAAATAATGCTGAGAACATGAGTAGAAATAAGTTCAGAACCTCTATCGTTTTACCGTATAAGGAAGGAATACTAGAAAATTTAAGGAGGATCCTCACCAAGGCTGGAATAAGTATGGCATTTAGACCTCCAAACTAAGCCGGAGATAAGATTTGTCGGTTAACGGATCCGATGGAAATAATTAAACAAAATGATGTAATCCACCAAATTCTTGCAATGACTATGAGGTCGAGAACATAGGTCAGACTAGCCGATCAAGATCAGTTAGATTGAATGAACATCGGAATATAGAATGACAGACCCAATAAGATCAATAATCTAGAAAAGCTCTCAGCTATTAGAGTGGATGCACTAACACACAATGGGTTGGGACAAACCACTGTATATGGACCCAATTAAATATGTTGGAGAGAGATATTAAGAAGGCCTTTGACAGAGTCGACTGAGAGGTAATTTGGAAACTCAACCTCATTCAACATCTATATGAAGATGCCACATGCCGGTCAAGTAATTCACAATGGGAAGCTCAGTGATGCTTTTGAAGTGAAGAAAGGAGTGAAACAAGAATGTCTACTATCACTCATGATATTCCTGATTGTGGCCGACTGGATCATGCAGAAAACAGTGGGAGTGAGAAGAGGGGGATACGCTGGACTGCGAAAAAGAACCTAGAATATCTGGATTTCGAAGATGACTTGTGTTTGACGTCACAAACTTGATGATCTACAGGCGAAAACTGACAAGATAACAGAAGAGACAGGGCAGCGAAGACGGGACTGCTAGTGAACATAGAGAAGACAGAGGTGATGAAGATACCGCACCAACAACTCCAACAACAACAACAAACTCCAATCACCACCAACAGGAGGAACTTAAAGGAAGTAACCTTCTTCACCTATCTAGGAAGCACTGTTTAAATTACAGGCGGGACAGACGAAGATGTCAAAGTCAGAATCGGAAAAGCAAGACAGGCGTTCATTAGCCTGAAAACAGTGTGGAGATCTTCTGCACTCCACTCAGCATGTGGAACAAGATACGGATTTTCAACACCAACATCAAGTCAGTGCTTCTGTATGGTTGAGAGACTTGGCGCGTTACGAAAGGGATTTCCAATAAACTACAGAAATTCATCAACAACTGCTTACGCTCACTACTGAAGATCAGATGGATTGCCAGAATAATAAGAATAAGCAACAAGGAGCTCTGGGAACGAACCAACCAAGAATTGATTATGCAACAAATATGCAGAGGAAGTGGGGATGGATTGGGCATACACTGAGAAGGCCGAGTGGGGACATCACGCGTCAGGCCGTCGAGTGGAACCCAGATGGGAAGCGACAAGTTGGACGTCGCAGCTGAGGGTGACATGGAGATTGTGTGAGGAGGAAATGAGAGCTTGTGGGCTGTCGTGGAGCCAGGTTCCAAAGATTTCAGAGAAGAGAGTGGGATGGAGACGTGCTAGTGAAGCCCTATGTTCCATTAGGAACCCAAGGGACAAATAATAATAATATAATAATAATTGATTACTGAATCTTTGTTCATCCAATCTACAACCAACACATGCAATAGAAATGACAAAACACCTATACCAGAGATATGGAAATTTTTACCACCAATAAAACCAAGTAATATGAGGTGATACGACTACAGATTTCAAATGTAGAAAGTTAAGCGAATACATCAATGTGATTATGAGCAATAATTAATGCTCGGAACGTTATTATGAAAGAAATATGGCATCACTATGTGCTATGTCAAATAGACAAATCCAATATGGGATTGCATACTATCACAATGCCCATGTCTTACATTCATACTAAAGAGGTTACTGGATATCACTGCTACACACCAAGCGTACAAGCAAAACAGATACCAATTTCGAAATTAATAATTTCCAAGATAAGATTAGACATCATTTTTTAATTACCTTGCCTAAAACATCGAGTTCCAAAGAATTAGTAAATATCATCTTTAGTTATTCAGCCAGCTACGGTTTAAATAAGATTCTTGAAATTTATGGGGATTTTCTACTCAACCTTCTTGAGGTGGATACTGCTGACGAGTTTCACACTAGGATGAAACAGCCATTCAGCATTTCCAGGTTTTTGATGGTTCCCTAACTGATGTCATTTTGTTATGAATACAACCCTAGGAGTGTTTATTGTACAGAAAATACAGTTTGCTGTTTTAGTGTTGCAATTACAGACAGCAGAAGAAAAACTCAAATGTGTGGTTGGGAGTCAGGAACATGGATTGAAAACTAAATACTCAACAATAGTAGGCTCTGTTTATTTCGAAGCCTACTGTACTGAAAGTAAATTGTGGTATAAATTATGTGTCTCGCTCAACAAGGTATCCTATTTGAGAAAGATGAATCCATATGCTTTGGTAAGGGTTAGTTGAATTTCACTGCTTGCCGTTTTCAGAAAAAAAGATCAAGAAAATCTTCATGTACTACCTAAATACTAATCGCTTATGAGGGGGTTGTGTTCAACACTGTTTTCTTAGAGATCTTTCTGCGAAAAAATGATTAACTTTTTTTATCATCTAGATTTATCGATTGAATCGGCATGTTTTATTTTGAAATATTGTTTTCTGCATATCGAATTTGCAAAATTTAGTGAGGAATTTTCTCTTTTTTGAGATAAGATTGTTGTGTCCGTTTTTCTTTCTTTTCCTTTCAGCTGAGAGTTATATATCATGAAAAAACATTTTTCGGCAGATCGATGTTTTTCCTTTAAGCTGAAAACATCCTTCACACATTTTGATTTTGTACAGTATGGAAAAACAAACATAAAAATGAGTTATAACATTGTTTTCAAGGCCACAAATGGCTGGACGTAAACATGAACTTTAAATCTTCAAAAGAACATTCAAGAGAATTTTAGTTTGTTTAAAACTTACCCTAATGTTGTCATGGTAACAATAGTATACCATGAAGCATCAGGAATACTATAAAATGTAGAGTTTTCATCAAACTTTTCTATGTAGTATATCACCGTAGCAAATATAATCACAACCAAAGTTAAACTGAATAACAAAAAGCCTAATTCCTCTGCACACGATTTTAGCGTATATCCCAATATTCGTAATCCTTGACTGTGTCGTGAAAATTTAAATATACGAAATACACGAAACACACGAAGTGTAACCAATGAACCTGAGAATTGTAATCTTGCTGGGACAACTAAACTTATATAGTATGGTAGAACAGCAGTTAAATCAATAATAGCCATGATAGATCGAATGTATTTACAACGTGATGGTGAGGCGTACAATCGAGCTACGTATTCAATAGTGAATATTAGTACACATGCGCTGTCTATACAAAAAAATATATTTGAATATTTATCACCGTATGTTCTGATAGGGTGTAAATCCATTAGTTTACCATCACTATATGGTATGGTTTCCGCCATATTAGATAAAACAGAAACAATAATAAAAAATCCAGTTGTGTAATAAATCATATTCGCCACGCTATTCTCTTCAGGATTTTCAAACATTTTCCACAATTTCACACGAAATATATCTTTTGTAACCGTTAAAGACTTATGCAATGCAAGCGATTTCTTATCATCTTCAAGACGTTCTTCAACATCTTTTGAATGATCAATAAAATTTTCATAGCAACAATCAGAAAGGTTGTCAGACAAGATAGCGAAAAATTTCAGTTCATTTTCGAAAGCGGATATGCAGATATTTCTTGGATAATGCAGTTTACCATGTTGATAATATGCTAAGATATATCGGAACAATTCAGGATCACGATCAAAAAAGTATTCATGGTTGGTAGCATCATAAAAGTAGTCACGTTCACTTGAACCAAGCAGTGTTGACGGGTAACGTTGTACAAGTGATTCTGCCAGTTCATAGTGTACACCGCTTACATTTATCATAATCTTATTATTTGATACTGGAATTTGAGTGCATAAGTCAACCAGGTCAACTTCATTGCATAATACTGGTGCTAAACCAAGGATACTAGCTTGTTTCAATAGTTGCCATGAAATTTCTGAAACCATTTTGACAAGTTCGTAGTAGATGTGAAAGAAAATAACGAGTAGACTTCTGGCATTGTATTCGTTTAAGTTTGTCTCTATAAACAGGGTTGTACTCAAATTTGTCTTCCTGATGAATACTGAATGTAGTCAGAAATTTCTTCGCAAATATGGATCCAGTTGGAAGTCAGCTATGAATCTCTGCTCATTCGTTTTGAATGATAGCGGGATACATATAAGATGTAATTCAATATCACTGTAAAACACTCTCTTAACCAGATGACCAATCAAAATAAGGGTAGACAATAAGCCAATTAAATTAATGCCACTGTTTTCTGATACTTAACTTTGCCTTCTTCACAAAATTTTAAAGTATACTGAGTATAACATTATGATATTTCTTTTACCAGTGTCTTCGGTATGTATTTGTTTATGTGGTCACTTCATGACTTTAAAAGATACTCGTTTGAATAGAATTTCTTTCAACAAGTTCCCTGGTATACAATTTAAATATTTCCAGCGTCAAGTTCTTATCATGATATGAAGTTGTAGTAGGTAGTAATTCAAGATATAGTAATTTTAGATTTGGAAAAAATAAAAATAAACAACAGCTGCGTAAATAAAACCCCAAAACTGAATTCCTGTTAAATTGTGAACAGATTAAAGAATTTTGATAACTTTGTGAGGCATATATTTGATTGTTAGTTCATGAAAGGTTTTACGAAATGAGGTATGAGTACAAGTAATTACTAGGGGGCATGCAAAGTTGAGTACACTGTTAAAGAAAATGTTAATTTGTATAAAAACCATTTCAGTTTATTTTTCTCATCAGTGAAGAAGCCGAGACAGCATTTCAAAAACTAGAAGGGTACCCATTCATCTGTTTATTTATTACAGTGTGAGAATTGTAGTCTGCACAATTACGATTTAATTGACAATAACATGAATGATTGAGTATATAAGACTTACTATCAAAGACAGAAATACTTTTAGGAGGGAATCTCGAATTTAGGTGCACTTAACTACTTATGCATGTGTATGGAGTCAGTTTGCAGATTTTATTCTTTTTATTAAGGTATGACCAGTTTATTCATCCAGTGAACATTACTGAAGACTGAATCCTACCAAATTTCGGAAGCCCCTGTTAGCATCTATTAGTTACCTTTTTTGAATGTAGGAGGATGCAAATATGACCAGTAGTTACTTACTGGTTTCAATTACCAAATACATGTTAGATGTTCATTCCAAAATTTTTATGGGTTTTAGATCTTCGGCCTTATTAGCCCTTTTTTGATCATTGCTTTTGATAGTGAGCGATAATTAAAGGTGAAATGAGAATTTGAACCGGTAACAACCGAGTTTCTGGCCTGGTGCTCTACCAGATGAACTGGTTCGAATCCCGTCATGTTCCAAACTTTCATTTCACTTGCATTCATCACCCAGCATAAATACAAGCCTACCAGACCACGGCTATCTCAGAGAGTCAAAATGCTAAAATTCTTTTATTGAGTATTATGCGAAATATAAAGTGTTTTTTCACTCCCGAGAAAATCGCTAAAAGCCACCTGTGAATTTTTTCCACGTTATAGAGAATACGAAACAAAACCATGAAGCAACTTCAAAGACTCGAAATTATTTCTGCCCTCAAGTACCTTAGGTTATAAAACATCTCGAGCTGAACAATAAAAACTGAATGATACAGTTAAACAAAATACATGTTTTTCAGTCTTCAAATGTATTTAGGTGTCTGTAATGCGAGCAGTTCATTTTGATGGAGACTTCATCACTGTTACTTTTGATTTTCTTGAAAAAAGATGCAGCACTTTATTTCACATAAATATATGTAAAGAAATAGTAACAGACTTTCGAATGAAAACTTCCACGAATCTTGGATTAAAAAGATGAGAAGATGGTTAAGTAATTACTAAAAGTCAATCACTGAGGTTAAACTCCACAGAAAAGATTTCTAGCTCATTTTTGCATTTCCCAAAAAAGTTAAAACTCACATATTCACAAGGAGATATATATATTTCGTCAACAAAGTGGTCAAGCAAAATTCTGATGAGATGATGAAAACATCACTACTAGATGCTAATAGGCATGATAGTGAATATTTGTCACCTGGAAGTAACGTCTATAGCCTTGAATAAATTTTGATGTTGTTTTAATCATTGTGTTGTTAATAGCGCGAACCAGTTTGACAAAGTTAAAGATAAACTCAGTGGCTTGGTGATAACTGGTGATCGGTTTCATTCCTGTATTCACTCATACACCAAGTCGGGAGATTAAAGTGTTGTTTTAGTTAGAATTTTAAATTACTTTAAGCAATATAATTTCTAAAATGAAAGTAAAACCTCCATTTATTTACGTTAAATATTAGTAACCTGTTGTATATATTTAAATTATTATAACTGGGAAGTCAGACGGTGTTTATTGATAATAATGCACGGTAAGATGATGTTACTCACAAAAAACACTACTCCGATTAAAGTTATGTGTATTATTACTAATAAGCCATTACACTAACTGAAATATCAAATCGCCAGTTATTGTTTGCATTCGTTAAGGAAAAAGACAATTTTGTAGTGAAGAAATTGGTTTCGTGGATAGGACTTGTTGGCAAGCATCAGCATTGACAAACATTACCATTGGCTGGTTGAACTCTGTACGGTTTAAATTTCTCCTTGTCCAGGAGAGAATCTATTTGAAATAGGAGATAATAGGGTGTGAAAAATTTATAGCGTTGTGTTAGTTAACAGTGAAGCTTCCTGCAATCAGAATTAATTTTATATGTTGATGCATTTCATCGGATTTGAAGATCAAGATTACTAGTGTTTGTTATGGTCGTGTATTGATTATCATGTAATCCAGCATGAAATAAACTGATATTTTATTTAACTAGTTAGTTTTGCCATATAACGATTGACATGTTTATCCAGTTTGCTATGCGCATAATCTAACAGCAGTAATCTGCTTGAAAACCATTCCATAAATTTTACTGTTGCAAGTCAAAAGAAATGTATGGTCATGAGTTGAATTCATTTTCATCACATCATAACAGTGTCTGATGAGGCCAAATAACTATAATAAAATCCTTTTACTGTAAAACCTTTCGGTTAAAAACTACAAATTTATATAACTTTCTTAAATGGTAGAACAAATCATCTTAATTGTTGTGTATTTGAAGTTCGTTTGATGTGCAAATCCATCATTTGATTGTGACATGCTAAGTATTTTGTTTTTCTACCTCATAGATTAATTTAATCATGAAGTAGTTGAATACTGAAGAACAAACATTGATACATTGGAGCTTCAGTAATTAGTTTGAATCATTTTATGCAACTGAGGTAACAGAAAGTATATTCAGATGATAAATTATCGTTTTACCTTCACATCAGGATGTCAGTGATAATGATAGTGGTAGGCTTTACAAAAATATTCCAGTCTCATCAACGAGACCATTTTTGAAAGATGGTTTTTTCTCCCCTCAGTTATTTTATGATGTACGAGTTATAAAAGCTTGGTGTTACAATAAGCAACCTAATTAGTGTTCAACATAAACTGTCTGTCGCAAACCATGGTTCAACTGGTTCAACTAATCGAAAAAAACTCCTAACGTTTATGAATCACAATGATACGGAGGCAACAGTAAAACAACTTTAACTGTATTTAATTCACCTGAATTTCTTGAAACAGTTTTAGGTTTATTTGAATTGCTTCTGGTTTTGCTTTAAAAATAAAAAAGGAAGCTAATAAACGAAAGCTTTTCATCAACAAGCTATAATATGAAAAAAGCTGCATAGAATTCTTTACAACACTAGAATTAGATAAACGTTTTCACATTAAAGATAGTATTTATACAGTTGTACAACTGAATCGATAATTTAAGTACACTACAATGATTTAGGTAAATCTGGTTAATCACCAGGTTATCGGGACCTGTTTGTTCACCTAGGTTAAGAATTACAGACTCTTTCTGGAACATTCATCTAACGAAAACTCAAAAGCAGAATGGATGCACCTACGCACATTTGTGTAACATTGCAATAAAAAAGGTTAAAGTTCAGTATTATTAGATAGGAAAAGAATGGTTCCTGAACCATATATCATCGAATCAACATTTAATATTTACAACAGAAATGATTCACTACCCTTTCTTGGCTCGCAAAAGCTTACTATCAAAGGTTTCTCTGAAGGTCTCCTAGCAAAGATCAAAATGACTAACTAGGATTCTTCATTTTGGCTGGAAAGACAGATTTTTGTAAAATGGGGATGTCTTATTGGTTACTTCAGTTGTTTCTAGGGTGGTCTTTCAAGTTGCTCTACTATCAATGCAAGAAATGTCAGGAGTGATAGAAGTGTAACTTCTTCCATGTATATTTAGGCTTGTAAAGCTATCTTGGTAAATAATACTTTATGAATGTGCTAAGTCAAATAAGCACTTTTTTTCAGTAAAGTCTGAACCATAAGTTAATAACTAGATAAAATAACTTAGAGCTGATAATTTTAAGAATCTTAGATACATGAAGTAAACAAATGCTTTTAAAGTTGTAAAGTAAACGGTTAGTAGATTTTTTAAATTCTAATTGAAAGAGAAACCATCAGCAGTCTCATTTGCAAACATGAAATCTATCTAAATCTGAATGAATTTCAAATACACTGTGCTCCCAGTGCCTGTGCATCCACCCCCCTACACTTGCAAACAGTAAGCCTTATTCTGATTCACTAAGATGTAAAGCAGCCGTAAAAAAGTTGTCATAAGTGATTACTCATTGAAATATTTGTAATTGCAGGATGATATGAACACATTTCATTTCATATGCCATTAATTATCTTGATACGCACCACTTTCAAAGTTTAGACACGACTTAGGAAACAGTTTTCTAAAAAATAAAAACTCATCTAAACTGCAATGAAAATACCGTGAGTCCACATAACCTGATTACAATCTTTCACCTAATAATTTGTGGCATATTTTATATTCGATAAATTTTGCAGGATGTTATTTTTACGGGTATTTAGACTGCACTCCAAAGTGGTTTGGTTGAAAGTGATTAAGGGAGCATCTGAAACTTTAGATAATAAATGAGGCTGTATAAAGTTCATTAAAATTATTTACAACCCTATGACTAAGATATCCATGAAATCAAATGTCCCAGACTAGACTATATTCACAGAATAAGTTTAAAGCTAAACACGCCCTAGTCATTAAAATGCTTGCATTTTACTGACTACTGG